GTGAAGAGCTGGGGTTGTAAGTTGGATCTCCAGGTGCCGTGGCCTGTGTCTGTCCTGGAAGCCCCTGCATGCTTGCTTCAGCTCCTGTGCTGGAGGGCAGGGCTCTGGTACCAAGGGAAGGGCAGGCAGGAGGCTGCATTAACTGGCCTGGGAGCCGAAAGGAGGTCTCTGAGATGAAGGTCTGGCAGCACGAAGGCTCTGCCCTCGCTTGGGCTGAGCTGCAGCCCGTGTGCTTGGTGACCGGGGGGGACCAACCTCTGCCCCAGAGTTTCCAGGGCCCTGTGTGACCCCACTGCACTTCCCCCTGCATGCCCGAGGTGCACGGAGGTGGTGCAGGAGAGGTCTGGGAAATGGGCCCTTCGGCATTCGGCGCCCTTGAGCCTGTTGGAGGAGGGGCTGCGCCAGCTGCGGCTAACGCGGGCGGCTCGTGCCTAGCAGCGATGCTCTTCTGTGCATCAGGGAAGGCCCCTGGGCCAGCTCCAGCCGGGCACATCAAAGTCCACCGTGGGGCCGCAGGCCGCCCCGAACTTCAGCTGGCACGTGGTGCGAGCCCATGCCTGTAGGGCACGTTTTATGTGCACAGAACAGCACGTGTGTCGGGGCTGTAGCGCAGCCCCTGCAGGTCATGCGGATCACGGCACAGCTGCATCCGTCCGGCCTGTTCGTCTTCGTGCCACACGAGGGAGCTGAGCACTCGCTGCCAGCAGCTCCGAAACGTTTCCCTGCAACTGGCAAACCTCGCCGGCTCTTTTGGGGCAGTGCCCACGGGGGGGGTGCACTGTGCCCATCCTGGCCCCTGCCTGAGCTTTTGGGGTACATGGACCCAAACCTCCAGGCAGGCTGCGGGGGAGCCCGGCGGTGTCTCTGGGTTTGCTCTGAGCAGGGCTGGCTGAGCCTGGCCAACTCATTACACCTACATCCTCTTTACTACACCCCCCGCCCCAAGCTTCTGGTGCCGGCCAAAGGAGCATACCCAGCAGACCTGCACTGCAGCCCATTGCAGCTCCCTGCTTGCCTTGGGGAGGCATGTCAGGCCCACGGCCTCCTCGGAGGAGGGGGCATCCTGCGCGGCATCCCCCTCCCGGGCCATGGCCTGCAGAGGGATGCAATAAGGATGCAAGCGTGAGGCAGGCAGCAAAAATGGACCCCTCAGGCCACGGCTGGTGCTACAAAAGGGTCCTCTCTTACACGCACTCTTAAATACAGTCCCGCACAGATAAATACAGCCCCGGGGGGCGGCAAGGGAGGGGGCCGTGCTCCAGTCCTCAGTCACATCAGGGTCCTGCACAAGGCTCTGGCGGGGATGGCCTGCAGGAACCGGCCATTTCCCTGCATCCTCCGGGGAGGGACAGGGGCCAGAAGCAGGACAAGCTCCAGCGGCGAGGAGTCCCTGGAGATGCTGAAGGGGTGAGCTGGAGCCGTCCCGGCCTGGTACAGCGGGGCACAGGGTAGGGAGACGTGCCCCCCAGGTGCATCTGGCAGGCCCCTACTCCCCAGCCCAGTGAGAGCCCCTGAAGGGCTGGCAGGGTGCGGGGGGGGGTCAGGCATCTCCGACAGCGTCCGGCCCTCAGAGCACTTGCAGCTCCCATCGCTGCGTGGTCCTCTCCTCAGCCACGTCCCAGAGGACGGCGTGGTCCTGGTCGTAGGACTGGCCCCCTGTGCGGACAGGAGGGCGCTCACTTGCGGGAAGGGAGGGGAGGTTGTCCCTTCGCTCTCCCCCGTTCTGTCTCCCTGAGACCCACCTGCCCCGTGGGGCTGGTTGCCGCTGCCAGGACCCATCCCGTGGCAGCTGGATGCCTATGCCTGGCTCACCCGTGTGCCCTCTCCTCTCACTGGTTTCCCACCAGGCAGGGAGGTCTCCCCGGTGCCCCAGTCCCTACTCCTGCCTCCCCCAGGCCCAGCTGATAGGGACCTGGACCATGTGTGGGATCCCCGAGCCACAGGCCTGGGGGTTTGGAAAGAGGGAGTGAGTGCCCGAGAGGCCCCTGGGAGCCTGGAGCAGCATGGGCCCCATTGCAGGCAGGCCCCACGCTCACCTTTCACATCCAGGACCCTGTCTTCAAACATCTGGCTCCAGATGCGCCCAGAGTCATCGACTCTCCAGGTCTGGCGGGGGACGCGGGTCTCGGACCACAGCACCACCTTGGCACCTTTCCCCGCAGGGCCGATCACCTGCAGGCTCATGGTGGGGGCCACCTGGAAGCAGGCAGGGTCCAGGCCGTCAGCCCCGGGCCATGCCGGGTGCAGAGCTGCCATGGGGAGGGGAGCTCCCACCAGGGCAAAAGCCAAGGGGCATGGCCCTGCCCCTGTCCCCCGACAGCACTTGGTTGCCGTACCCCGTGGAGGAGGAGCACCCACCGCCCTGGAGCCCGTGGGAGTCTCAGGCTGCCAGGCCTGGCCAGAGCCAGGGACCCGCTGCCACGTACCCACAGCAAGCCCCCGAACCATGCCTCCACCCATCTGCCCACAGAGGCTGGGGGTGGCCGAGGGCTGCTCAGGGTCATCACCGCCACACACACCAGTTCAGGCTGATGCTGGATCTGGGGCCCGAGATGCACCCACAGCCCAGGCAAGCCAGGACCAGCTAGGGCCCTTTAAGTCCCTCCAAGACCCTGCCCGTGAGCTCGGACCTGGTTTTTGAGGAGTCCCTCCTCGTAGTACCAGATGGTACTGCTCTGCTCGCCGAGGGCCGAGGTCACCACGCGCCCAGCTTTCATGTCCTCCACGTCATCTGGCACGGACAGGAAGAGCTCCAGCCCCGCATTTTTGAGCCGGAAGTAGATCCGCCGCTGGGAGGAGAGAAGCCGAGGTCCTCCGATGCCCCGTTGCTCACCGAGGCCCCCCCACCCCGTCACAGGACGGAGTCCCTGTCTGCGTGCCATAGGCCCTATGCCGCGACGGACGGCTGGAGAGTCTCCAGCAAGGGCCCAGGTACAACCTCGCCCCTGGGCTTTGTCCGAGTGACCCACGGTACACACAGGGTCCTGCAGGTGTGGACACCTGCTCCACAAGGCCAGGGAGGGGCTTGGCGCTCACCTGCCGGATGGGATAGAGGGAGCCGACGTGCTGCAGTCCGCTGTACATCAACCAGTTGGTGATCTCCGTCACGTCCAGCAGCCACTGCCGGCCCCGGAAGTCGCTGTGCTCACAGAGCACCCAGCTGGGAGCAGGGACAGGAAAAGACAGAGTCAGTCCCGGCGGAAGAGACCCTCCACGGCACCAGGCTGGGATCTAGGGACAGGGTGGATCTGGGGGCGCAGTAATGCAGTTCGCACCCGCTTTGATTCCTGCTCCACCCAGAGTTTGAAACCAGCAGCATTTCTATCCAAGCGGTAGTGGGGGACTTCACGGCTCAGCATCATCTACCCCGTTTCTTCTAGACTCTCCTTCCAAAGTTATTTGCCCATGTGAGTTCATGTTTCCACCCGAGTTCATGTCTTTAGCTAGAGTTAAGGGCCCTCTCTGCTTTTTTGGTGGTTATAAATGTTCTGCAAATCAAACAGTCCTCTTTTCTGCCATGCTGCTGTCTGGGAGCTGCTCCTGGTCACAGAGCTCCTATTTCACAGTCCTGGAGACTCTTTTTGACTCTAGCTAAAAACTTTAACTCGAGGGTGGCAAAAACTTTCAGTGAAGCAGTGAGTGCGTTGGCAAGATGCTCAAGAAGGCCTGGTTTTGTTTTACGAATCTGTTTTTCAGATCTGTGTTTGAACGATTACAAAACTAAAGAAGCAACATCTTTTGAGTGCATTTGTCTAGTTTGGCGGCTGTTTTAATCCACAGTGTAGGATATAGCAAATGAATGCACTTTCCAATACATTTATATTGGCCTTTTGCTTTGATCTTGAACTGAATGATGCAGCCCTAGGTTCGGAGCATATTGCTAAAGCTTCCAGGTCTTTTCTACCTGGAGGAGGAGCATTGTGCTCTGTGTGGTGTTGCACTGCACTATCCACACCCACCTTTGCAAAACCCTAGATCTGCCCATGCCTGGGGACCCCCAGCTTGCAGGTCCCTGGGCAGCAGTGAAGGCAAGCACTTGGACCTCGGGACTGGGAGTCTGGACACCAACTAGGCCTGCTCTCAGCAACCTGCCTCTGCAAAGCTGAGCTCTTTAGGAAGGGGCTTGCAGCGGCTTAAGGCAGGGGGGACATTATTCCACTTGCAATTTGTAGCTGGCCTGATCTCAGGCTCGGAGCTGGGTTGCCCAAAGGGGCTGTGCCCGGCAGGTTTCCAGGAGGCCCCCTGGACCCGTGGCTTCCCAAGCCCCAGTTAGCTCATGGCCATGCACTCCCCTTCCAGCCCCTCGAGGGGTCCTGGGGGTGGGGGTCACTTACATGCCACCTTTGATGCGCACAGACAGCACGTGGTTGTTGAAGCCCTCGGCCTGCAGGCTCCTCACCTCGCTGTTCAGCTCGATCTCCTTGCCTTCAAAGCACTCCAGTCCGTGGAGGAAGATGGAGGGCTCGGAGAAGACCTGCAGGACACGGCGACCTTGGGGTTAGGGTCTGGGGCCAGCGAGGGGCCGTGGGAGTGCTGGTGGCAGCCGGAGGGGGTGGCCCTCCGGGGGTCTCCCGGGATGGTGGGGTCTTTGTCGTGTAAGGAGGTGGCCACCCGGGGGG